AATGCTCCAGACCCCCACCCAGCTACTCAGCTGCAGGGAGACTCTACTGGGTTCTAAGAGTAGCAAGTCTGAAGAATTTGAGAGACTGACTGGGGATACCGAAATCTCTTTATATAGTGATTTCTAAACAAAGGGACCAGAGCTGCCTTAGGCCTGATACTCTGACAGGACTTCCAGGAAGGAGAATGATGGAGGGGGTAAATTTAACTAAGATATATTGTAAGCACATATGTAAATATCACAATGTATCCCCCTGTACAACTATTAGATGATAATAATTAAAAGGGGGGGAAACCCTTCACAAAAACCCCTTTCAGCCCCCCAGGTTAGGCAGAGAAGGGAAGGGAATGCCTGTAGCATCCCCTACTGGCTGCCTTGGGTCAATGTCTTTAAGAGCAGGCAGTGCCTCACAGCAGGAAGAAAGTAGGCCACAGATGCTTTCTGTGAACTTGGAAGCCTTGCATCTGTTAGTGGGATTTGTCTAATGGCACAAATGATCCTTCCTGGAATCCTCTCCTCTTTTCCTTCCTCCTGTGATTAACCTGGCATTTCAATTTGTCATTTGTACTCTGAAATGCCTTTGACATCACAGCTTTCCCCTCCTCCAAACCCTTCTTATTTACTTTTAGCATGACAGTCACCTCCCAATGGCTTTCCCTGCTTCCTTCTCCACCAACTGGTACCAAGTGAGTTTATCTTTTTAAAACTAACATCCCCGCCTACCTAAGAAGCCCCAGATGGCATCTGTGTTCATGGTAAACTTTCTTAGCAAGGGGTGGAAGGCCCTTTTCAACACGACTCTAGGCTATGTTCCATTCCTGCAAACCCTTCTCTGCTCCCATGCTCTTCAATAAACTAAGGCATATCGACTCATGGGTCTACAAACCCTGCCCCCACCAAAACCATTACTCTGCTTTTTCTCATGCTGTTCCCTCTGCTTGGAAGGCTTTTCCCCCAGCTGGTCTTAAGACTTCCCTCTACTCACCCTGAACCCAAACTCAAATGTACTTTCCCTCAAAACCTTCCATGAGCCCCAAGACATACTTACGCCATGAGCCCACTGTACTGGAGACACTTATATCTGGTTCAAGTTCCCTTTAAGGCACTCCTCAGGGGTAGGAGCACTCTTACACTCATCTTGGCATCCTCTGACACAGAGCTCGTTGTGTAAGAAGCTCTCAAAAAAATGTGAACTGAATGAACACAATGTGTGTTCTAGATGTTTGTATTTCATAGAAGCTCTTATTTCCATATCTGCAAGGGTGCTAAGGAATGGAGTAGGGAGGCCACGAGTTCCTATCTGATATACAAATGAGACAGTGGCCTCATTTTCTCAATTATTTTCTAATGAGTTGCTCTCAGATACCATGTCTGCCTCAGCTTTCCTCAGCCATTTTGGAGTGAAGACCTGGGGCCCTAGTCTTGGGCTCTTGACCAACATGTGCTGAGGCAGCAGGATCCCCTGGCCACTATCTGGGGGTCTGGAATCAGTTGTGTTGTCCCTTCTCCCACCCAGGTCACAGGTACAGGTACCCTGGCCCATGCTGTGATGGGCTTCTAGGCTCTCCCACTGGATTTCCACCATGGTTTTTGAATAAGTTCTCTGTGGGGATGAAAGGAAGGGAAATGGCATCTTTGAGCCAGTGCCTCATGCTTCACATTAGACATCTTGTTTAATCTTCACAGTAGCCACTGAGATTAGTGTCTTTCTTCCCCATGTTACAGATAATCAGGGCCATTAAAGATGTTACCTACAATCTTATGATCAAAGAGCGATGTAACCAGGTCTATAGAGTGACAGCGCCCACTTGCTTCCATACTCTAGGGGAACATGGTTCCAAGCCCATGTTTTTGCCTGCACAGGCTCTGCCACCTGTCTTGGCTCTGGCCCAGTCCCCCTTCTTCAACTTCAAGATCAAAGAAGGCCATTTTTAGCATCTAGGATAGCAGTTTAAAAGTTTTCCTTTAAACAATCTTCCTAACTTTTTGCAAGGCAAATCTTACTTGGAGCCCTGCTATAATCAGCAAGGAGTCTCTCTGGCAGGGGTGGTGGGGGTAGGGCATGGGGATTCAGAGCTCTACTCGGTGCCCCTTCTTGCTCCCTGAGTCACTTCTCTGGATTCACAGGAATGCACAGCACCCAGGTTTACAATGCTGCTCCTGAGCTACTCTGCTGGGGATTCCCCTGTGGCTGCCTCCCTCAACCAGCCTCAGGGAGTGGCAGGACTGGACAGGAGCCCTGCTTAGGCTTCCTCTGCTACCTACTCCCAACCCTGGCCTAGCACCCTCTGGGGAATGGGGATTGAGGAAGGAAAAGAGGGAACAATGCCTGCTGCAGCAGCCTCATGTGTACCTGCTGGCCAGTCTGCAGTCTCTACTTCTCCTTTCTCTCCTAGGACTGACATTTGATTTGGGCATCTGCTTGGCACAGAGAGAGGCACCAGCCCTTGGAAGACTCCCAGGCCTGTGTGCTGGTAGTGGGGCACAGGTGAAGGCTCAGCCATGTCACCAGTTGATAACTGTTTCTGCTGTCACCCTGGTACCACTGCCAAGCTTGTTGTACTGTGGGGCCCAGGGGTCTCTCCTTGCTCCTCGAAGCCCTTAGTAATGGCTCTGTGTGGGCTGCTGGTGCCAAGGATCCAACTCACTACTTCCATTCCTCTTTTTTTTTTTTGGCATTTCCCACATTTTTATTTCATTTTAATTTTTGATTAATGATTATTAGCAAATCATCAAAACACTGTCATGTCTTCTATGTTGTATCCATTCCTCTTTGTGGGCCTCATTTGCTTTTGTGGCCAGAGGACAGTAATGGTTTGATGGGTGTGTATGGATGGGTGGGGGGTTTAGATGGCATGTCAACCATGCCTGAGTCTGGTCTGAATTGTAGTGTGCTCTGATCAGCTGTGTGGAATGGCCAACCTAGGATCTGGTTTCAATTTAACTGCAATCTGTCCCCATTCCAGTGTTTTAATTAGGGCATGAAAGACATGTAAATATAAAAAGATACAAACTTTATAAATGTGATTCTGATGTTCTCTTTTGATATTAATTCACATTAATTGCCTCAGATGATACTGATATCCAGACAGAAATCTGGCAGCAGCATCCTGCCTGGCAGTCCTGATAATGTGCTTAAGTCAAGTGGGGGTGGCAGTAATGGGGACAGGCTCTCTGAATTGCCTAGTGAAGGATCCTGGGAGATGGGTGGGGAGAGATTATTAAATCTGATGGGTGCCAACTCAGGTGGGTGTGGTTAGCTCTGGACTAAGTTAGATAAGGGTAGGACCTGAGGCACCAGAAGTGAGATGAAGCAGGCAGAGGCAGGCATGTCCCAACAGGTGGAATGACAGAATAAAAAGCAGCAAAACAAACTCAGGGGAAACAAGATTTGGAACCAGAGAAGAGAAGAAGGGAGAGAGTGACTCAGGAGAGCCAAGATGACCTGGACAAAAGTCACAGGGGATAGGGGTCACTGAGAAGAGTGAGCAGGACACCAACTTGTTTTGAATAGAGACAGATTGGGAAACAGAAGAGGAATGTCTGGTGAAATGAGGGGAGGGGGACATGGAGATTCCTAGAAAATCTCCTTCGTGGGCTCTTGGCCACAGTCACTGCAAGGATGAGCTCTGGGAGGTCAGAGGAGAAGGGCTAAGAGAGCCGTAGGTAAAGTAAGTCCCTGGTCATCTGGGAGCCTGGAGGATGGGTGGTCTCAGCGGGACCCTGGGCCACTCTGTCTTCTCTGCTGAGTGAGCCTCTCAGGTTGCTGGGGGCACATGCCGGGCTGGTACCTGCATGATACGGACATAGTCTGTGCGGTGCAGCTCACTCTCCTTGACCACCTTCTTTTTGAGAGTGGCCAGGTTCCTCTCCAGATGTTCCCGCTGGCGGGCATACTCCTGCTGCAGGTCCGAGTTCAGCCCTGCAATCTCCACCTGTTAGGGCCAAAGGAATTCTCAGTGAGGGAGCGGAGGTATGGAGTGCAGTGCAGTGCAGTGTGGGGCAGGGCAGGGCAGCAGGGGACTCAGCTCACCATGTCTGCCCGCTGCACGTACTTCTCAAAGAGACCTCGGATCTTTTCCTTCAGCAGGCGCGGTTCCTGGATATATGCCACACAGTTGTGAAGGTCGGTCTTAAACCGTTTGACCAATGCTTCCAAGTCCCGTTCCTGCAACCAGAGACATTTACTTCTGGCACTGCAGCATGCTCTCCAGGTGGAAGGGCAGGGGCTGCAGGCAGAGGCTGATGGCACAGAAAGGGACAAGAGTCACCTCCCCTGGGATTTACAGCTGACTACCAGGGACCACACTGGACATGGAGACCTAGATGGGCTGAGAGCTGGCAGTACTGAAACTCTTGTGCACCTGACTGGACTGGGTCCCTTGGTTAAACAGCCTAGGTGGCTTGGTGCAGCATCCTTAAAGGACCACATATGGCTTCCTTTGTTGCTCTGCATTCCTTTTAGGACTACAGGCCTTAAAAGATGAAAGGATGCTCACATCGCCACCCATATTTCTTTAGAGCCAAGACAGATGGTATCAGTCTCTCCTGCAAATTCCAGTGCTTATCCCTCTTGAAAGTCAGGAGCACTCCTGTCAATGTGGGGGCAACCCCCCCAAAACTGCACACATGGGCTAGCTCCCCCCATTCATTCAATTATGGTTCCTCTGATACTTATCTCCCCCTACCCTGACCTAGAGAGGATCTCTACTTTCTCTTCCTCCTATAACTCTTTATCCACATCCCATATTTTTTCTACCACAAACCACCTACCAGCCTCTTCAGTTTGTGAAGGGCAGGATCAGAATCCATTCACAATTGGGACTCGGTGGCTTCTAATATTTAGTGCAGAGTAAACAATGTGAGGTTGGAAAAGTCATCCGGATTCAACAAATATTTTGGGGGTAGACTGGGCTGCAGAAAGAGGGTACAACTAACATCCTGGCCAGGACCATATACCTGATTTCTATGACTGGCTCCAAATGTGCTAACTAGCTATGTGTGCTGGTAGTGTCTTAGCCTCCTTTCTCTGGCCTTCCTTTCCTTATATGTTACATAAAGAGACAGGGATAGGTGATCGCTGAGGTTCTTGTGGCCTCAGCAGATTTTTTTCTTTCTTTTTTTTTTTTTGGTGGTCAAAGCCTTTAACCACTGAGAACAAATGACCACTGTGAGCATATTTTCCCCAGACCAAACAAGCTGAAGGCTAAGAATGTTCCTGTAAAAACAGTGTCCCACCCCCTGATCACTGTACCCAAGTCATTTTATAGTCTCAGATGAATTTAGTCATGTAAATTTGCATAGGCCTGAAATTGGGCATGGCTGTGGGCAAGCATAGAGCATGAGTTAAAATGGGAAGCGTATCTTAGCAATGGGCTGGCTCTGTCTCCAAAGCCAGCTGTCCATCGCAGGCAGGTGCCAGATATTGAGGCCAAGCACTGCCAGACTCTGACGGTCCTCACACCTTCTGCTGCTCTCTGCGCATCTCCTGGTCAGTGGCTCTCAGTTTCTGCCACAGTTCTGTGATGTTCAGCTCCAGTTGCGTGTTCTGTTTATGGAAACGCTCTAGCTCGGCTTCCATCTGTAGAGAACCAGGGAAAAAGGCAAAAACAAGAAAGTAAGAGAATGAAAACTGTATTTGAGAACTGAAGTCTTAGTGGGAACCTTCCCCAATTCCAGGGCATTTCTTTTCTAGTTCCACCTATGCTTTCCTCTTTATCATCCTAAAAGCCGCTACTTCCTTGCCTGAGGATGTGTCAACCCAAGGCCTCATGTGCCTGTGGCCAGGCTGGGAAGTTCTCCTTCTCAGTCATCTTCATTTTGTTCTTAAATTCCTTCTAACTCAAGGTAACTCTCAACTCTAATATGAGGCATGGCTTTCCAGAGAGCACCTTTCTCTCCTCCTTTGTTAGGTTATACCAGTGAAACTTGATCACAATCAAGAACTTGATTGACCACAGTCATTCTAAACCTAACGTTCAGGGCCAATTCTAAAGCAGAGATTTAAAAAGTGTAAAACAGGAAGAAAACAAACCAACAAAACTGAGAAGGAAACTCAGCTCATCATTCTGTTGAAAAGTTCTTAAAAAGCACAACTAAGTGGTGGCAGGTATGGTGGCTCACATCTGTAATCCCTGCTACTCAAGAGGCAGAGATCAGGAAGATCACACTTTGAGGATAGCCTGGGCAAGTAAGTTAATGAGACTCTATGTCAACCAAATAAGTGGGCATGGTGGTACATACTTGTAATCCTAGCTACACGGGAGGCCATAGGTTGGAGGATCATGATCTGAGGCCAGCCCAGGCAAAAATGCAAAACTCTATCCAAAAAATAACTAAAGCATAAAAGGCTAGGGGCATGGCTCAAGTGGTAGAGCACCTGCTAACCAAGTGCAAAATCCTGAGTTCAAACCCTAGCACTACACACACACACACATACACACACACATAATTACAACTGAGGGGTATTCCATCTTCAAAAGGAAAACAAGAAACTATCAGTGAGATTCTGAAATATTTTCTCTTCATTGTTGCATTATGTTAATCAAAGACATGTGATAACTGGAACTTCTTATTTAAGGTGTGTGAACTTTCAGTAAACCCAACTCCTGGCCAAAGCAAAAGGTGATGTTTGGCTTACACATGAAATCTGGTTGGCACTAGTACTCCTGTTAATAGGGAGGCTCACTGACTGCTTTTGGGGCGGGGGGGATGATGAGATAGTTTATGGGATTTTTTGTGCTAGGTGAAGTAGCCCCCTGAGCTTATCCCAGGTCCTTTGGTCAGGTTTCAAGGCTCTTGGCAACTGTCTGAGAGTACCATCAGGGTTCGTGTTCTAGACACAAAGGGGCAGCTTTTAGAGGAACATTTTTCTTATTATTGGAAGCATTTTATTAGACAGAATGGCCCTTTGACATATGTCTGCCATGAAGTGGTGCTCAATAAGTATTTGATGAATGAATGAATGAATGACAAGTGTGGTAGGCAAAGGGAGCAATAATGAGGGCATGAGAGGGGCTGAAATGACCTGCTTCTGGAATAGAATTAAAAGATAAACGGGCAGTGTTGGCAGAGCTATGTAGAGCCACCTTGAAGAGGATACACAATAAAGGTGAGAGTCTTTGCACAGCTAAAGAAAGAATGTCCCCATTAGAAAGGACTGCCCAGCTGTCATAGGCTTAGGGATTTGAGCTATCTTCAAAAAGCCTCAGGTCTGAGGGATAAGAGACATAAATCAGAAGTTAAGGTGAAATGGGATACATACTGTCTGTGGTGAAGGTAGAAGGTGTCCTGTGAGCACACAGGAGGTGAGCAATTGGCCCCCGGAGAAGGGAGGCTTTAGCTGGGCTTTGTAGGAAGAGCAAGCATTAGAGGATAAAAGGGAGAAGAGAATTGCAGGCAGAAAGCAGCCTGCATGCAGTGGACCAGAGGCTCCAATGTCCTGGTGCATTTCCGCAGGCTGACAGTGGTTTCCAATAACTGTAGAACAGGGGAGGGGAGGGATTGAGAGGTCTGCTGAGCTGGGACATGCAGGACCCAAAGGCAGAGGCTCAAATGGTAAGAGATTTGGCCTTCATCCTGAAAGCTCGGAGAACTGCTGAAGGGCTTTATCAGGAGCAGCAGGAGCCAGCTGGTGCCTCAGAGGGCCTGATGCATAAGTTCTACTAGAAAGGGCAAAACTGGAGCCAGGCAGAGCAGCCAGGAGGCTGTCATTGGGTCCAGGTGAGAGATGATAGTGTCCTAGGCCAGGGAAATGTGTGCTGGAGGACAGAAAAGGGCTTCTCCAACTTGCAGGGCTCCTCAGGTCATGTCTGAATGCTGAGAGACAACCATGGCTCTTTCTCTGAAATCTTAAAGTCAGCAGCAACAGACGGCTGGAATGGAAGAGATACAGGATTGTATTCTTTACCTCTGCTCTTTTTCCCCCAGGCAAAGCCTCAAATTACTCTGAGAATATAAATCATCTGTTTTACAGAAAAAAATGTGGAATATGTGAAATTTGAGTATTTGGCTGGAAAGTCAGAAGACGAGCCTAGAATGTGGGAACAAGCATCCCTTTCCCACTGTGGAAATTCCAACTACTTTCCATATGCTATTCATCGTGCTCAGAGATTCTCAATGGGGCCGGGGATGGGGAGGATAGAGAGAGCATTTTGCTCTCTGGGAGACATGCCAATGTCTGCAGACACTTTGACAAGGGGTTCTGCTAGCATCTAGTGTGTAGGGGCCAGAGATGCTGCAAAACATTCTGCAATGTACAGACAAGCTCCACGCAGAGAATTATCCACCCCAAAACATTAATAGTGATGATGCACGTGATGAAAAAATAAAGGAATGGAAACTAAAATGATAATGCGCTGAAAACCTCTCCCCTAGGACAGGTTCTTCTTGACGGAGAAACTGGAAAGATGCATGTGAGGGGCTTATGTGTTCATTTACAGAGATCTCAGCCCTACACACGCCAAGAGCTTGACCCTTCCTTTGTGTAGGAAGAAGAATTTCACTGAGGATCTATAGTGAGTAGGCTGAATATCTCTGACCCCCAGAGGAAAGCCCCAAGGTCAGAGGTCACTGGAAGCAACCAGGCCAAGATACCAGCCTTGGCAAACACAGGCACCAGGGGAGGAGCTGGAGGGGCCCTGTCCCAATCATTCCCAACGCACAAGCACATTCCCTACTGAAAATCGAGGTCATACTTGGCTGCTTACTGCCTGGAAGAGTGAATAATCCCCCAGGTGTGTTGGTGTGGAAAATAAGCTGAGTGTCATCAAACTTGGGACCTAATCTTAAATCCAATTGACAGATGTGTCAAAAGAGGAGGGAGGATGGGTACAGTTATTTCCAGGGATTGGCTGCACACTTCCAGGTGGGTGGGGTTCTGATCTTCCTGTCAACTTCTTGGGATGCTTCTAAAGTCTGAATTTAAGTGTCCCCTCAGAATGCATATGTTGAAAACTAATCCCAAGATAAAGGTATTAAGAGGTGGGGACTTTGGGAGGAGATTAGGTCACGAGAGCAGAAACTCACCAATGGGATTAGTGCCCATTTCAAAAAAGGCCTAAGGACACATGACAATCACCATGTGGGCCTTCCCAGATACCTAATCTGCTAGCACCTTGATCTTGGAATCCCCAAACTGTTGTTTGTATGTTACAAAGTCTAAGGTATTTTGTTATCAAAAGGACTAAGACAGTTGCCATTTTTGATACTGAAGCCATGTGAGAATGGCAAATGGCTCCAAGGAGGCAGCTCTGTGGGCAGCTGGGAGAGAGAGAACAGTCTGCAGGTGCCAGGGAAAAAGTCACTGCCACCCTCTCTGGACCCCTTATTCCTGGACTGATCTCCACCTGGCTTCTTTACTGGGTCTTCTAGAGAAAAGACTTCACTGGGCAGACCAGCAGTATATATAGCTTGTGGGCATCTAGTCTGGTCATCAATGGTGACACACTTGTACCTGTTGTCCTTGCTTAGTAAAAACAGCCACAGAAAATGGAAGGGGAAGCAGGATCCTATTTTGTCTAGAGTGGCTAGGAAAGTCTTCCTTGAATTGGTGACATCTAAGCTGAGACTGAAAGATGCGAAAAGCATTTGGGGACAGCCTTCCAGGCAGAGGTCCTGAGATGGTAAAAGCCTGGCTTGTTGTAGGAACTGTCAGATAGCTGGTAGCTGGAGTAGGAGGGGGAGCCTGCTGATGAAGCTAGACAGTGGGGGAGAAGCTGAAATTTGGATTTTATTATAGGTAGGATAGGATACCACTGTGGTGTTTGCTCTGACCTATATGTAGAGATCAAGCCTGAGCCTGGAGTCAAGTTCAGATAAGAGATGGTGGAAGCTTGGTCCAGGGTGAAAACAGTAGGTGAGAATGCTGATTTTTTTTTTTTTGTGGTGGTACTGGGGTTTTGAACTTAGGGCCTCAAGCTTGCTAGGCAGGCAGTCTACAACTTGAACACTCTGCCATCCTGTTTTTTTTTGTGTTGGGTATTTTTCAGATAGGGTTTCAGAAAACTATTTGCTTGGGCTGGTTTCGAACCATGATCCTCCTGATCTCTGCCTCCTGAGTAGCTAGGATCACAAGCATGAGCCACCGGAACCCACTGGCAATACTGGATTTGAAATGTCTTTTGAAAATTGATCGGGTAGATACCCAAAAGACTGTGACACAGGTTACTCCAGAGGCACCTGCACACCCATGTTTATTGCAGCACTATTCACAATAGCCAAGTTATGGAAACAGCCAAGAAGCCCCACCACTGACGAATGGATTAAGAAAATGTGGTATCTATACACAATGGAATTTTATGCAGCCATGAAGAAGAACGAAATGTTATCATTCACTGATAAATGGATGGAATTGGAGAACATCATTCTGAGTGAGGTTAGCCTGGCCCAAAAGACCAAAAATCATATGTTCTCCCTCATATGTGGACATTAGATCAAGGGCAAACACAACAAGGGGATTGGACTTTGAGCACACGATAAAAGCGAGAGCACACAAGGGAGGGGTGAGGATAGGTAAGACACCTAAAAAATTAGCTAGCATTTGTTGCCCTTAACGCAGAGAAACTAAAGCAGATACCTTAAAAGCAACTGAGGCCAATAGGAAAAGGGGACCAGGAACTAGAGAAAAGGTTAGATCAAAAAGAATTAACCTAGAAGGTAACACACACGCACAGGAAATTAATGTGAGTCAACTCCCTGTATAGCTATCCTTATCTCAACCAGCAAAAACCCTTGTTCCCTATGGGACACAGCTAAGGCAGTCTTGAGAGGAAAGTTTATAGCCATGAGTGCATATATTAAAAAGATTGAAAGATCCCAAATCAATGACCTAATGATACATCTCAAACTCCTAGAAAAACAAGAACAAGCAAATCCCAAAACAAATAGAAGGAGAGAAATAATAAAAATAAGAGCTGAATTCAACGAAATAGAAACCAAAAAAACCATACAAAGAATTAATGAAACAAAAAGTTGGTTCTTTGAAAAAATAAACAAGATCGATAGACCCCTGGCAAACCTGACTAAAATGAGGAGAGAAAAAACCCAAATTAGTAGAATCAGGAATGCAAAAGGGGAGATAACAACAAACACCATGGAAGTCCAGGAAATCATCAGAGACTACTTTGAGAACCTATATTCAAATAAATTTGAAAATCTAAAAGAAATGGACAGATTTCTAGATACATATGATCATCCAAAACTGAACCAAGAGGAAATTAATCACCTGAATAGACCTATAACACAAAATGAAATTGAAGCAGCAATCAAGAGTCTCCCAAAAAGAAAAGTCCAGGACCTGATGGATTCTCTGCTGAATTCTATCAGACCTTTAAGAAGAACTGATACCAACCCTCCTTAAACTGTTCCATGAAATAGAAAGGAAGGAAAACTGCCAAACACATTTTATGAAGCCACTATTACACTTATCCCAAAACCAGGCAAAGACACCTCCAAAAAGGAGAACTATAGGCCAATCTCCTTAATGAACATTGATGCAAAAATCCTCAACAAAATAATGGCAAACCGAATTCAGCAACACATCAAAAAGATTATCCACCACGACCAGGTAGGCTTCATCCCAGGATGCAGGGGTGGTTCAACATACGAAAATCAATAAACGTAATAAACCACATTAACAGAAGCAAAGACAAAAACCACTTGATCATCTCAATAGATGCAGAAAAAGCCTTTGATAAGATCCAACATCATTTCATGATAAAAGCTCTAAGAAAACTAGGAATAGAAGGAAAGTCCTCAACATTATAAAAGCTATATATGACAAACCTACAGCCAGCATTATACTTAACGGAGAAAAATTAAAACCATTCCCTCTAAAATCAGGAACCAGACAAGGATGCCCACTATCTCCACTCCTATTCAACATAGTACTGGAATTCCTAGCCAGAGCAATTAGGCAAGAAGAAGGAATAAAAGGAATACAAATAGGTAAAGAAACTGTCAAAATATCCCTATTTGCAGACGACATGATCCTATACCTTAAAGACCCAAAAAACTCTACTCAGAAGCTTCTAGACATCATCAATAGCTATAGCAAGGTAGCAGGATATAAAATCAACATAGAAAAATCATTAGCATTTCTATACACTAACAATGAGCAAACGGAAAAAGAATGTATGAAAACAATTCCATTTACAATAGCCTCAAAAAAATCAAATACCTAGGTGTAAACCTAACAAAAGATGTGAAAGACCTCTACAAGGAAAACTATACACTTCTGAAGAAAGAGATTGAGGAAGACTATAGAAAGTGGAGAGATCTCCCATGCTCATGGATTGGTAGAATCAACATAGTAAAAATGTCGATACTCCCAAAGTAATCTACATGTTTAATGCAATTCCCATCAAAATTCCAATGACATTCATTAAAGAGATTGAAAAATCTACTGTGAAATTTATATGGAAACACAAGAGGCCACGAATAGCCAAGGCAATACTCAGTCAAAAGAACAATGCAGGAGGTATCACAATACCTGACTTCAAACTATATTACAAAGCAATAACAATAAAAACAGCATGGTACTGGCACAAAAACAGACATGAAGACCAGTGGAACAGAATAGAGGATCCAGATATGAAGCCACACAACTATGAGCAACTTATCTTTGACAAAGGAGCTAAAAATATACGATGGAGAAATAGCAGCCTCTTCAACAAAAACTGCTGGGAAAACTGGTTAGCAGTCTGCAAAAAACTGAAACTAGATCCATGTATATCACCCTATACCAAGATTAACTCAAAATGGATCAAGGATCTTAATATCAGACCCCAAACTCTAAGTTGATACAAGAAAGAGTAGGAAATACTCTGGAGTTAGTAGGTATAGGTAAGAACTTTCTCAATGAAACCCCAGCAGCACAGCAACTAAGAGATAGCATAGATAAATGGGACCTCATAAAACTAAAAAGCTTCTGTTCATCAAAAGAAATGGTCTCTAAACTGAAGAGAACACCCACAGAGTGGGAGAAAATATTTGCCAATATACATCAGACAAAGGACTGATAACCAGAATATACAGGGAACTTAAAAAACTAAATTCTCCCAAAACTAATGAACCAATAAAGAAATGGGCAAGTGAACTAAACAGAACTTTCTCAAAAGAAGAAATTCAAATGGCCAGAAAACACATGAAAAAATGCTCACCATCTCTAGCAATAAAGGAAATGCAAATTAAAACCACACTAAGATTCCACCTCACCCCTGTTAGAATAGCCATCATCAGCAACACCACCAACAACAGGTGTTGGCGAGGATGCGGGGAAAAAGGAACCCTCTTACACTGTTGGTGGGAATGTAACTAGTACAACCACTCTGGAAAAAAATTTGGAGGCTACTTAAAAAGCTGGACATGATCTACCATTTGATCCAGCAATACCACTCTTGGGGATATACCCAAAAGACTGTTACTCCAGAGGCACCTGCACACCCATGTTTATTGCGGCACTATTCACAATAGCCAAGTTATGGAAACAGCCAAGATGCCCCACACTGACGAATGGATTAAGAAAATGTGGTATCTATACACAATGGAATTTTATGCAGCCATGAAGAAGAACGAAATGTTATCATTCGCTGGTAAATGGATGGAATTGGAGAACATCATTCTGAGTGAGGTTAGCCTGGCCCAAAAGACCAAAAATCGTATGTTCTCCCTCATATGTGGACATTAGATCAAGGGCAAACACAACAAGGGGATTGGACTTGAGCACATGATAAAAGCGAGAGCACACAAGGGAGGGGTGAGGATAGGTAAGACACCTAAAAAACTAGCTAGCATTTGTTGCCCTTAACGCAGAGAAACTAAAGCAGATACCTTAAAGCAACTGAGGCCAATAGGAAAAGGGGACCAGGAACTAGAGAAAAGGTTAGATCAAAAAGAATTAACCTAGAAGGTAACACCCACACACAGGAAATCAATGTGAGTCAATGCCCTGTATAGCTATCCTTATCTCAACCAGCAAAACCCCTTGTTCCTTCCTATTATTGCTTATACTCTCTCTACAACAAAATTAGAGATAAGGGCAAAATAGTTTCTGCTGGGTATTGAGGGGGGGGAGGGGAGGGGTGGAGTGGGTGGTAAGGGAGGGGTGGGGGCAGGGGGAGAAATGAACCAAGCCTTGTATGCACATATGAATAATAAAGAAAAATGAAAAAAAAAAAAAAAAAAAAACCCTTGTTCCTTCCTATTATTGCTTATACTCTCTCTTCAACAAAATTAGAGATAAGGGCAAAATAGTTTCTGCCAGGTATTGAGGGGGTAGGGGCGGAGTGGGTGGTAAGGGAGGGGGTAGGGGCAGGGGGGAGAAATGACCCAAGCCTTGTATGCACATATGAATAATAAAACAATAAAAAAAATTGATCAGGTAGGTGTTGGTGATGATTTGGATATAGGAGTTAAGAGAAAGAAAGAATAAAGACTTCCCAATTTCTGCTTTAAGTAACTGGGTGAATGATGGTTTTATTTAGTGAGAAATAAGAAATCAGAGAAAGGGTAAGAAAAAAAAAAGAATCAAATTCTTGGTGGTGCAAATACTGGGGAAAATTCAAGAATTCAAATTTCCATTAACCATGGACCCTACTACCAGTTGTGTTCTGCCCAGTGAGGAGAGGCTGACAGGTAAATACATGTTATAAGGAAATACAATATGGAGAGGGCCCTGGGGACAAAAGGGAACATTTGTTTGTCACTAGACTGTCAGAAACCCTTGTCCAACTGATCTCGCCTCTCTACTTTCATCCTGTTTGCTTCCCAGAACATACTCCAAATCGTTCCACTCTTGTGCTCAAGAGCTCTTGAAGATTTCCGATTCCTTATCAGATGAAGTCCAAACACCACGTGAGGGGTTTGGACGCTACCTGCATTCCTCAGTTTGAGAAAATAATGTTTGAACCAGAGAGGTATTTGGTGAGAAAGCCTGTTGACTGAGTATGCACTGCCCTCTGGTGGCCTAACGTCCAACAGCTGCATTTCCCTTTCTGCCTCAAGGCCAAGCTAAATAAACCTCAGCACTTTGCTTTGGGGATGCTGAGCCCTTAGTTGGGCCAGGGCCTTCCCCGTGGCATCATGTGTGGGGTGGAGGCTGCACACACCTTGGGAAAAGACAGGGGCTGTGAGAAGTTTTCATTCATTTCTCTGGGGCCAGCTAACAACAGTGGAGGATGAGACAGAGGTCTGAGAGGCCAGGGTGTTGCAGATGGCTCTCACCTCCTGAATCTGTTCCTTCATCACCTTGATCTCATACTCTCGAGGTTCTATTTGCTTCTTCAGCTCCTTTATTTTGTAGTCAAGCACAAACTTGAATTTCTCTAGCTCTTGATTTTTCTTTTTCAAATCATATATTCGCTTTTCCTAGGGGTTCAAATGAGAGAAGTGAAAGACACTACAAGGCCCTGGTACATGGAATTCCTTTAGGGCGAGGAACACAAATCCTGTGATTCTCCATATACAGGAGGCCACAGACTTATTGCCTCAGTGGGGAAACAAAGGCCTGCACTACCCCCACCAGACTGCAGCATTGTCTCCTTCGCTCTGTGCCAGGAGCTCCATCCACTCTCTTGCTCACTCGCTCTTCCATATATAGGCTGTGGACCACTGTATCTCCCATCCCTGTAATCCTGATGCTTCTCTATCAGCAGGAGGAAATAAGTTTCCTTCTCTTAGGACTGGCTGGACTTACAACCTCCTTGTAACCCAAAAAAATGCAGTGAAAGGATGCTGTTTGGCTTCCAAGGCTAGGTCAAGAAAAGCCAAGCAGCTTCCCCCTAGCTCTCTTGGGATATTTGCTCTGAGGGAGGCTATTTGCTAGATAGGTGCTCTACCACTTGAGCCACTCCACCAGCGGGGGAGGCTATTTGCTATGTGAGAAGTGTGACCATACTGAGCCCTCCAGGCTGGAGAGCATTCAGGGCTGGTGGAAAGATCCAGATAAGCCCAGCATCCCAGCATCTCTACTAAAGTGCCAGGATGTAAAGAAGATGAATATTGACTTTCCAGCTTCTAGCTGTTCGAGTCACCCCCATTCTTCCCAGCTGAGGATGCAGACATGTAATTTGTTGTACAGTAATTGTAACTGGAACATGGGCCTATCCATCTACCAAACCTTTACTGAATGAAGATCTTTTGCCAAATATTAGAATTCCAAATATAGGTATGACCCTGTCTCTGTCCTTCAGGAGAAAACACCAGAGGGAAGCAGATGTAAAATGTGATAGGAGAATTGTAAAGGAGGGAGACACAGAGGCATTGACGGTGCTGAGAATAACCTGCTTGAGTGTCAAGTGGTAGGTCACCAGGGAAGTGGGAAGTGAGACTGAGGAAGGGTGAGGAAGGCGAGGGTCTTGCATGTTAGTTTAAAGCATTCTGAATTTATCCTGTAAACTCAGGCTGTGGGCCAAATTTGGTTGGCTGCCTATTTTTTGTAAAGTTGGGTTGGAATATAGCCAAGTTCATTCATTTATATTTTGTTTATGGGTGGTTCCCATATGGTACTGAATTGATTAGTTAAGACAGAAACCATATTGGCTAGAAAAGCTAAATTATTTGTGGTCCAGTCCTTTACAGAAAAAGTTTGCTGACCCCTGCTATAGGCTATGGGAAGCTACTAAAGAATTTTAAGTGGGAGAATGACATAATTATACCTGCACTGTGGCAGCTGTGGTGGTAGGGACCAGAGGCATGAAGTGGGAAGGAAGGCCCTTAGACTGGCTGGGAGACTATTGCAATTTTCTAGGTCTGGAGGCCTTGCTTGCTTTCTTGTCAATTCTCACTCTGAGAATCTGAAGAGAGCTTCAGATTCATACACAAACCTTTATATGCAGAAATGGCATGTGGGACTTCCCACTCAATCCTTACAACTCCCTCCCCAAGGTAGTTATCATTCACCACTTAGCAGGTGAGAACAGAAAGTCTTAGAACCGCTGTCTAAGGTGCAAAACCTAGTAAACGGAGGGGCCCATGTTGGAATCTATTTATCTAACACTAAAGTCCATATTCAACCACAGGGGACTTCTGCCTGGCCAAGGCACTAGATGCACAGTGGATGGACAGGAGGGTGTGGAGTCTGGATTTGCTGAGGAGGATAACACTAAATTCTGGATATTGGGGTGGTATACCCCCAGAATGTGTGCCTGTCTTCTGCGTGTTTTGTGGGAAAGGCATCCCACAAAGTGGTACCAGATTTCTGGGGTATCAATTGGTTACAGGACCAACCCAGGGGAGTTTCTCTCTGGCAAGGAGGCCCATGTGGGCCATGTGGAGGGTGAGTTTCCCACAGTCCATGGAGATGGGTCACCATAGGATGCCTGGAACAGTGCAAGGTGGGGCCCTTGGAGTCAGCTGACCCATGTTCTCATCTCTAAGCCTGCCAAAACTGTGTGGCCTTGGGCAGGATACTCAACCCCTTGGCACTTAGCTTCCTGAGTCATAACACTGAGTTGCTTGTGCTCTGGGGCTGTTGGCAGAACTGAGTGTCATGTGTTGACAGCAATCAGCTCAGTCCCAAGCACACAGTAGGCACTTCACTGACCACTCATTCCCCATCAACTTGAATCAATGTGCTCCAAGGAGCCACAAGCTCTCTCTCCAGGGGTGGACCCACCCAGACAGCTGCTGAGGGAGGGTATAAGAAGAGTCCTCACCTTGTCTTGAATTGTCTCATCTCTTTCCTGGATCTCTCGCTTGAGGCCTTGGATGTCTTCTCCAGGGACTTGATGACTCCTTGCAGCTTTACCTGCTCCCCTTTAGGACTCAATGTCATTAGCTCGCTCTTCAATCTCCTTCTGCAGGCTGCTGAACTGAAGGTACAAAAGGCAATGAAAAAGACCACTGGGGTCTCTGAGCTCACCTGCATTCCTCCAAGGTGTCTGAATGCAAAGATCTCCCCAGCACTGACCAACTGGGCTGAAAGCCTCTCCTCCAAAGAACTGAGAACACTAAGCACTCAAGGTCTCTAGGATTTGGGGAGTGAATTTAATTAATTAATTAATTAATTTTTGAGACATGGTCTCACTATGTAGCTCAGGCTAACTCCAACTCATGCTCCTTTTGCCTCAGCCTCCCAAGTGCTGGGATTATAGGAATGCACCACCATATATGGCTCTTTTTGTTTGTTTTTGGGAGTGAATTTTTTGAGAATTTGGGATAGTTCAAGAAGTTCCCAGGCCAAACAGATGATGGAGTATTCTGCTTGCTAATATCTGTCCCATTCTCTGCATGTGAAAATGGCTTGTCTCTGCCCAAGAGTCTTCTGAGACCAGTTCCTTGAATGAAGTCAGGGTCTTCCATGACTACACAGACCTTGAAAGGCTGGAATTGGTGACTCACCAAAGCCACAGAGATTGAGCCCTACTTGATAAGCCATCTTAGACATGTCCAAGAAGGGATGACATGATTGTCCCTTGGGTTTACTAGTGGTGTGATTTCTAAAGGAAGGAACACGAGCTTGCTTTGAACTTGGTTTCTCTAAGGCTAAATGGTTTGGGGCAACTGTGGCTACAAGGATCTGTGAACAGAATCCTCCTTCACTTAGTCATCAGTGAACTAAAAGTGCCTATTCCACATTGTAAACAAAGTGTCTTCCACCCATACTCACTATCCCACCTGGAAAATCCAGATAGGAGGCACCAGACCTGGAGGTCACCTCCAGGCCAAGATGTCATCTATCTCATCCTCAAGAGGTCTCAATTCTATTTCTGCCAGATCTTACTCAGCCAGAGGTGGAAGTCCAGAGCATCTACCAGAGTATAGGGAACTGCAACAGCCCTTTGAAAGGGAAGGAGGAGGGGAAGATGGATCTGACCCTTTCAGAGCATGTGGCAGAGATCCATCTGCCTAAAGGTCTACCTGTCAGTGCTCCTGTCCTAACATAAGAAGATTCAGAAGGAGCATCTGCTTGGCCACCCAGGGTTTTCTATCCACCTGCCCCAGCTTGCTCTGCAATATAGCCTGAGCCCACCCCCAGGTCTCTCTGAATAGCCTGATACCTTCTTCCTCATGATGCCTGTTTTCTCCCTTGAGCTCAGGTTGGATTCCTTTTCATCACGAAGCTTTCTCTCATACTTGGTTTTGATATCTTGGATTTCTCGATCTTCATCTTCTTCAATCTGCTTCTTGGTTTCTTCAAACTCCCGCAGCTGCTGCCTGACATCTTCCTGTGCCTGATTCAGAGAGAAGGAGAGAGCATGGTCATGGGAAAAGGGACTCATAATGCCTCTTGTGCTGAGGGGCCTGGGATAAGATGAACACAGGAGCCTTTCATGGGGAACAGGAACTGAGCCTTATTAAAGAAATGGAAACTGAGGCCCTGGGTCCTATGTCCTGTCCACTGTTTTCCTATCTCCCCTCTTGCCCAACCAGATCAGGTCTCAGGCTCTACCACTTCTTCAACCACCCTCTTACCACACCCTCATACCCTATTTTGTCTCTGGTCTTCACAACCACACATAGGCTTCCTATATTTTTCCTTCACAGACTTGTGACAGCAGTAATTTTATATTTATTTGTGAAGTTTCTTCTCCTATTAGATGTAAGTTCCTTGAGGGTAGAAGCCTGTCTCTCATGCCCACCACTGAAGTCCCAGTGGAAGGCATATAGTAACACACCGTAGCCACGTGATAAATCATTGAAGGAATGAGTGACTCTTTTACTTCTGCTCTCCCTCCCCTTTCTCCCTGAAAGGGAGGAATAACTTGGCTCCCTGTGAGTACCTCCTCTAGAAGGGTGGTTTTCTCTTGCAGCTTGGCCTCGTAAAACTCAGTCAACTCCTCCAGGGCCTGGCTCCTGGTCTCATCATTGTCCGAAGCTGTTTTTCATACTCCTCCTGCCCTCTGGGACTTGAGCTGCAGCTCCTGGTATTTCTCATATTCTAGAAGCAACTTCTGATTGTTGCAACATTCTGGAGAAAGGCAAGAGGGTAAGTATTTCATGTGGGGAAGCAGCACCAACTGGAGGGACACATAGGTGCCCTGGCCGCTTTCCCACCCTTTCCAGGCCAGCCAGAGCAGCTGCCTGCAGAGCCACGGTTTAAGGCCTACCTGGCCTCTGTGCCTGCCCTTACTTCATATCTTTCCAGGAAGTCAAACTCCCTCCCTCTGGCTTTGGACAGGAAGGTTTCTAGGAAGATATGGGAGGTGGTGGGGAGGCATTTGAAGAATGCCAAGAAGTATGTCCTAAGTAGGCAAAACAGGTATTAGAATTCCCATTTTACAGAAGAGAAAACTGAGACTTGGTAAGGTTAGGTGACTCCTTAGAGCACCTAGCAAGTAAGTGCTGATTCTGGGACCCAAAGCATATGAGTCTCCAAAGTGAACTTGCCCATATCTCCTACTGGCATGCAGTAGGTATTTGAAATATATTTAAGGAATGAGTAAATACGCGGGAATAAAAACCAAGGAGGGTTGCAGGGGGACATGTAGCCTGTTCACAGGCAGAACCATGTTCTCTGGGACTTTGCTGGGACTGGGTAACTTTTGGTGTTTTCCTTTAGCCTGCCTCCTTCCAGCCCTAAGCAGTCATCCTCGGCCCATGTGGCTTCCACTTGTGGGCTCACCCAGATCTTGCAGTTCCCGGCTTTGTTTGTCTAGGAGGTCATCAATTCGCTCACGGTGCTGTATGTCCTGCTTTTCTTTTTCTGTTTTTAAAACCTAAAACACAGAGTCACATATTCTCATTTCTTCATATCTGCTCAAGGCACCAATGCAATGAGAACGAATTTTACAAGTAACACTTGCAAACCTCACTCATAAAGTTTTTTCTGGCCCTTATTACACTGTACTATGGAGCAACAAAATGATCACTTTTATTCACATTATATTCGGCTCTGAAAGTTCTATCCTTTCCCTACTTATTCCCTTGCTACTAAGTAGGTTTGTCAATGATGTTTGGTTTTAGACATGTATCAAGTAAGTTTGCAGGTAAAAAAGTAAGGATTCATTTGAATATACTCTTGCTTGCACATTGCTGTTAACTCCTCAGGCATGGTACTACGTAAATGTCTAAGAAGCATTTTCTCTAACTGAGCAGGAGAGCTGCTTGCAGGCTGAAGGGTGCTATCCCAACACCTAGCTTTGTACTTGGCATATGCATGGTATCAAGTAAATGCTTGCTGACTAAATGAATTAATAAAATTAATAGCCACAAGGTTTTCAGCCAAACTCTGACCCATGGAGATAACATAATAGAACAAATACCCTTGAGCAAAACTTTGGAGTGCTTTGGATGAAGGGCCAAAATGGATTTGTGCAGAACAAGAAAGACTTGGAAAGTCCTGAATCAAGTCTAAGCACAGACAGTTTGGACTAATTTTATTTGAACTTTCTGACAATCTAGAAATCAATATTCTGCTAATTATTCCCTTGCTATACTTTGTCCTTCCTTCCTTCCTTCCTCCTTCTCTCTCTCCCTTCCCTTCTTCCTTCCTTTTTCCCTTCCTCCTTCCCTCACTCTTTATATTGAGCTACATCAACCTCTCATTTTGTTTTCAAATAAGTTTTTCTTGATCACAAAAGAAATAAATTCTCATTGTATGGATTTGGAAATTATAGAAAAGTATAAAAAGTTTACATTATTCATAATCTCAGCTTTTTAGAGGTGTCAGTTATTTTGTGTGTGTGTGTACTTATTTCACCTAATTGATACCATCCGCTATGGAGAATTTTCTATTCTGCTTTTTTCCACCTAGCACCCTGTTTCACACATTTCTGACATCATCAACTATGCTTTACAATTGAACATTACCCTACATCTTCTTGATCAAGCATAGCTTGGGCAATACAGCTAGCCTCATCTTTGGTAAAGTGGCAATTTCTTATGACTTGCAGTTGCTGATTCAGCCTCTTAAACAGACCTGGTTTTTTGTTTTTAAGGACTCCATTTCTTGAATGAACTTGTCAGTTAGCTCCTTAATCTTCTCAGAATAGTTCATATCCTTCAGTCGAAGCTGATACTCATTCTCCATTTTTAACTCTTCCACACGAGTCTTCAGCTCCAACATAACCTGAGCCTTTGGAGGAAGGACACAGAATCAATTCACAGTGGGATGAATCAGACAATTTAAACCTGTGACCTTGATCTGGGACCTGAAGCTATACCTAGCTTCAAATTCAGTGTGTCTCAACTAGAACTTTTCCTCAAAAGATCACAGGCTAAAAACCAAGAGACATATAAGCTACTTCTTCTGTCTTCACAATGTATTCAGTGGGCTCCACTGTATACTAATAACTCTCATTTCTCCTTCACATTGGCTTAAATGTTGCCTGCTCAGTGAGGCCTACTTGGACCCCACTATTTCGTCTTACTACCCCATCCCATTCCCAGCATTGCGTTCATGACTTCCCCTCCTACTCCATTACTCTGCTCTACTTTTTATTATTTCCTTAAATCTTGGTACTTTCTAATTAATATTCTGTATAATTTACTTTTTATTTTGTTTATTCTTTTGTCTTTTTCCCCCTTTAGAAATTAAGCTCCAAGAAGGTTGGATCTTTGTTGGTTTTGTTTCCTCATATATTCCAAGTATTCAGAACAATGCCTAATACATAATTGACACTTGTTGAATCACAATTCCTGCTCCCATAGAATTTATAGTCTATTGTGAAACCAAATAAACAAATAGTTATAATTTATAATAAATGTCCAAAGAAAAGAAGTTCTCAGTGCTGACAATTGTCCCTCCTCATGTCTTTCATGCCTGTGCTGGTCTCACTCTATTTCTTTAATGTAGGTACTAACTCTTTGGTTGGCTTGTCTCTGATGTCCAGTATCTTTTCCTTCCATTATGCCCACAGATGCCAAAGTTTTCTGAAAATATTGTTAACACACACACCTTCATTTCCTAAAGAGTTAATGCTGATGACAGGGTGAAGACACAGGTGTTTCTTCTTGTTCACCTTGACTACACCCCATGCACCCCCATCTCATCTTTGCTGGCCTGTTTTCCTTACCACCTGTGAGTGACTTGATGACAAGAAACACAGTATATTTGCTTCTTCATTCTTGGCCAGCACACTAGGGCAGACCTAGCAAGTGGGAAGTACTGAGACAAGGGATGCATACTAATTGCATGTGCAGTCAGGGAGGTTAAGCGAGAGGATGCCCAGTCAGGGCCCTGATGTGATTGGTGGAAGGCAGAGGAAGAGGAGGTGAGAGTGGGAGAATATCAAGGTCCCTGAAAGCCATGTGGGAAAGTTGGATTTGATACTTGAGGGCCTCCATAGGTCCTCAATAGCCTGATTAAGCTGACTTTATTGTCATGAGGACCTCTTTGAAGGCAGTGTGCAATATGAGCTCGATTAGAGATAGACTGAAGGTAAGATGATTAGTTGGAGGATGGCTGCATATAGTCCAGATAAGAGATGGTAGGGATTGAGTTGAGGTAGGGGAGGGGATCAGAGAAGAATGGAATGATTGGAGAGAAATGTCCCAGCAAAAGTGGTGCTAGACTGGGTGTAGGTGGAGGTGAGAGGATCATGGTAGAACTTAAAGTTGAGCTTGGCCTGCTTTGTTTCACTGCTCTATCACCCGAGCCTAACATAGGACCAGCAACATCTTCAGTGCTGACAATTCTCATCGGATGAACAAATGGCCCCAGGGTCTGTCTTGGGCTAGTGGGATACATTTATTGGTGGGAATGGTCCAGTTTTTGACATGTGACATTTGAGGTATTTGCTCATCAGCCTTCCTTACTCCATCTTCACACCTCTCTAAAGTGAAAATCTTATTAAGATACTCCCTAAATGCAACCTATAAGTGGGCCCTCGTGAACAATTCCCAAAGTCAAAACGGTGTAAGAGGCCACTCAAGATTTCTCCCTTTAACCTTCCTCTCTGGCACACACTCTACACTCTAGCCACATGTAGTAGGACCATCCTCCCCAGAGCACCACTCCCTCAGCCCTCTGCACAACTTATTCCTTAGTGCGGAAGAAGGTCCTTTCCATTTGTTCTGGAGGGCTCCATGCAGGGCTTGCTTTCTTTTGTACCACATGGCCTGGGTTGGGGTCCTTCCCTTGTGCTCTCCCAGCATTGTTCTTTCATAATACCCAGTGCACACTTAACTTCCCTATTTTATTTCACCTGGCCCTCTTCCAAGGCTGTAAGCTAAAAGCTGTGTCTTATCTCTATAGCTCCAGACTTCAATATAGTGTCAGGTACATGGCAGACCCCTGTGTCAATACCAAATGGAGAGTGAGTAACTGAATGATGAAATGGGTGGGTAAATACAGGGCTGAGAGACAAGTTACACAGAACAGAATATAAAGAAAAAAAGAGAGCTGAAATTCTGGGAAATTTAAGGGTTGGGTGGAGGAAGAGCCAGGGAAAGAAACAGGGAGGAGAAATAAGAAAGGTTTCCAGGGAATAATCAATGTGTTCCCATGAACACTGAAAGGTGAGGATGGGTTAGGAAGTAAGCAATACATACACTAGGCATTTTCAGCTTGGCAGCAGTGCTATCACACCTAACTGGGGGCTGCGGTCAGATGTCAACCCAGACACTGTCAGACCTTTGGTTCAGCCTGATGTCTCCTATTTGGCCTCTTCTCTTACCCTCTAGGAAGAAAGAAGACAAAACCAGACAGAAAGTAGAGAAAAAGATTTTCCTGCCACAGGGAGGTCAGACTCTTTCCTTTTCTTTTCTCCCCCTTTGCCTTTCCTGCAGAAAGTTCCAGGGATCTCTAGAAGGGACCTCCAGGAAACCCCTGAGATCCGTTATTCTGCTTTGTGGCTGTTTCTGCATTGCTGTTCTGACAATTTTACTTATCTCTCTTCCCCACTTGACTGTAGCTTCCTGATAATAAGGCCCATGCCTGGCTTTTCACATGTGCATCCTCACTGCGTAGCTAATGATAAATATTCAATGAACACACTTAGATTTTTCTGAGTAGCAATGAGTACATAGTTCTGGGATTCTCCAATAGCCAGATAGCTCTCCTTTAGGGACCTCTTGCCAGGAGCTATACACTCAAATTTCTGCATAACACTTTTTGGAGTGTTTACTGCATTAACAGGAGGGGAAATCCCCTGATAAAGAGGCTTTGAACTAAATCTGGATTTGAACTCTGGTCCTACTACTTATCAGCATAGTGACTTGGACCCAACATTCAACATCTTGGAACCTGTTCCTTGAAATGTGGGGAGAATAATGATATCTTCTTCATAGATATATATAGAGAGTTCAATCAGAAATAGTATGTGACCAGCATGATGTTTGATTCAAGGCAAATGCTAGTTATTGTTAGTCTATGGTTTTATTATTCAGAAGGATGGGTAGGGTTTTCAGAATACTTTTTTTTTAGTTTTTGTCTGTACTGGGGTTTGAACTCAGGGTTTTGTACTTCCTAGGTACAAGCTCTACCACTTGAGCCACATCTCCAGACCATTATTTTGCTTTTTAAGAAGGTTCCATGCATTAGCAATTAAAATTGGCATCATTCTCACTCTCTCTCTAGAGATGATGACCCACTTTCAGTCTATAGAAAGTGTATTCCTTTTCTAATAAACTTTACTATCACTTTCACTACAAAAATTTAAGTAGGTCATTTGGCTTGTCACTTCAATTTTACAAATATTTGTTTTTGTTGATTGTCTTCCATGTATGTACCATGTTCTAGAAAGTATTGGCCACACAAGAGAGCTATATATCATGGTACTGCTCTCAAATAGTAGCAAGAGGAAAGCAGGACCACAGGATCAAAGCAGAACACAGGGAAGGTAGACATAGCCTCACTTCTTTTATTTGTTCACAGAAAGAACAGGTGAGGGCTCCTGTCTCATTCTTGCCTGGGACTAAGCCTTCCTTACTGGGAGGCTATGCCTGGGACAGCTAGGCTAGTCCTCAGTCTTATGGGCTTAATAAACACACCAGAAAATTGGGAGTTTAAAAAGTAGAACAGTGTTCAAGGCTATAATCAAGATCTTCAAGAGACAGAAAGACAGGCAGTGTGAGGGTGGAAACAGAATCAAGTGGCAGTGAGGAGGACAGCTTGGTGGTGTGGATGGAGGTGTGTAGGGAGTTGTGGTGGCCTGCCTTGGACAGGGTATAGCCAGGCTTGCAGAGGACCTCAGATGCTGGTCTGAGAAGTTTGATTGAGTCCCTCTCTTTATAGCTGGTTCTTACCTTCTCTTCCATGTCTGTTTTAGTCACAAGAACCTCTTCAGCAAAGGACTCTCCCTCTCGCTTGATACCCCGGCCATCTTTATCAAAGACCTTCCAGGTAAACAGGCAGCCATCCTCAGCAACAGTCAGCAGGAACTGGTCATCAAAGGTGAGCAACATCTGCAGGGAAAAACAGCATGGAGAGGAACTTTCTGGGACCATGGTTAACCAGGGCTGAGCTGGCCACTGTGCGAGGTTTCCGTCCATGCAACCCTGCTCTTGTTTCCCACTCCCTGGGTCCTTGTGCTCTAGATTAGAAGAATCAGACAGAAGCACCTTGGCACAGAAACAATCCCTTCGTTATTACCCTTGACTATAAGGGAGCCAACATGTAGAAAAAAATCCCAAGCTTACTCAAAGCAAAGGACAAAAGTATATAGCTTTCATACCATTTATGGGGTAACCATGGACTTGGTTTCCCTCCCCCTCCTTCCTCCCATCCTTTATTTTTCTTTTTTGACAGTATTGGGGATTGAACTCAGGGACCTTGAGCTTGCTAGGCAAGTGCTCTACTACCTGAACCACACCCCTGTCCTTTTGCTTTGTAAGTTTGGCTTTGAGATAGGTTTCTCATACTTTTGTCCAGGACCAGCCTAGGACTGCAACCCTCCTACCTCCACCTCCAAAGTAGCTAGAATTACAGCTCTGAATCACTATGCCCGGCTTCTGGTTTCTTGATGTTATTACATGTAGAGGTGGAGGTTTAGTAAAGTGTGCATCAAGCCTCTTCATGCCATGTATGTCTCATTACCTTTTTTTTTTTTTTTGTCGGTAC